GACAGAGCGACACTGTCTCAAAAACAAAAACAAAGGCCAGGCATGGTGGCTCATGCCTGTAATCCCAGCACTTCGGGAGGCCGAGGTGGGTGGATCACCTGAGGTCAGGAGTTCGAGACCAGCCTGGGTAACCCGTCTCTATTAAAAATACAAAAAACTTAGCTGGGCGTGGTGGTGGGTGCCTGTAATCCCTGCTAATTGGGAAGCTGAGGCAGCAGAATCACTTGAACCCAGGAGGCGGAGGTTGCAATGAGCTGGGATTGCACCACTGCACTCCAGCCTGGGTGACAGAGTAAGACTGTCTCAAAAACAAAAACAAAAACAACAAAAAAACAAACTTACCAAATGGCACACTTAAAATTTGTGCAGTTTCACTATATAAACATTTTTACCTTAAAAGACCAGAAAGCAAAATGTTAAATTATTACAAGTAGCTTTTCAGTGATTTAAAATAGTTCTAAAGAGACCCAGGAAATTGTCTGTTCAGCTTAGTTATAACTGACAATTATTTAACTCTTAAATATGTGCCCCATACTGTGCTAAATATTCCACATGGCAGTCTCCTTTAATCAACAGCCCTATGAAGGTAGGTACCATCATTAACCCCATTTTACAGATGAGCAAAGTAAGGCTCAGTAAGGGTAACTTGTCCAACATCATTCAGTACTCACCATCTCAAAACCTTGTGTAGAATTTGGATTTCTTCTCAAACTTGTTAGGAGACAATACAATGCAAACTGTACCTGCATGATAAGGATGACAGATTCTTGGCTGTACTCTTACTTCTTGGTAGTGCTTTGTATGCTGCAGCTTTTCTTTTCCCTGCATTTTAAATCAGTTTCAAATGAAAGCCAGAGTGTACCAACAGTTTTCAGGAAGACTCACTCTTCATTGGGCATCCTTTTTAGGCCAATGGATTTTCAAACATTTCTTCATATAAAATCATATGTAAAATACCTTTGTAAAACACCAAAGCAAAGGGTTGAGAAACTTGAAGCCCCTACCTATTCAGCTTATCCTACCCTTCCAGCTCACCTCTGCATAATCTGTCCTGTGTGATAAATACCCATCACTTCTATTGCTTAGCTACTTCACAAAAAAGATGGGACATTCTGCAGGAGGATTATGTTCAAATCTATATACACTCAGACAGTCACTGACACTTTACAAAACAATGCTTACTTATACTTACCCTTATAATGTATGATGTGTTTTTATACTTTTTGTGATAACCAAATGGATTTAGTGGCTATTAGTTCAAGATCCATTATTTGAAAAACACTGCTATAGGGTACGTGCGGTCTATACTCCCTGAACTAGTCTTTACTGGCAGCACCAATCAAAAAATGGAGAACCTGTTAAGAATATACACTCAGGACCGGGGGCTCAGTCAACTTAGAAAAGATCATGTGGAGAACACTTCACAACTCCTAATAAAGTCTTCTTAGGCTTAGAATATAAATATTTCAATTCTTGAGAAAATAAAAATCTCATGTAAGCCTTTCTAATAAAAATAGGCTAGAAGGTTGGTGGTTATTTTTAACTTATCTGGGAAACAGAGGATGAGACAGCAGCCAGATATTTCCTTAATTTAAGCCTATGCAGCTTTGAGTTACAAGCTGCATTCTAGGCTTAAATTTTCTTTGAAGGAGTAATCAAGCTTTCTTACCCAAAGCAGGGAAAGGGAGGTCACAAACGAAGAGCTTGAGGTAGCTTTGAGATTCTAGAAGCTGTTGTGGGCCCGGGAGAAATGAAAACCCGATGAACTAGGCAGGCCCACCACCAACTGCCATGTTCATACTGCCCTCCGAACAAGCTGAAAAGGTTCACCATGCTCTCAAACTGCTATGCTCTAATTCAGCTTTAACTGGGCTACTTCATACTAGTACTTTGTGTCAGTTTCAACCCCACAGGACAGGCCTATAGCCCAGGCTCAGCATGAGGGACTGCAAGTACCTCAAGAGCAAAGTAACATGTACATCATAAATGAACACCAGAATGATTTTTATCTTATCTGGTTTCAGAGTGGTGATGGAAACAAAAATCAATTACAGACAGAAATCCTGAAATGTAAATTGTTTTTAATATATTTAAGAGCACACAGAAGTCTTGATTTATAAAAAAATAAATATATAACATGACAAATTTATTGATGATCCTGGAGCTCTGAGGTCAAACTCTTTAATGATCAATGAAAACATAAAACATACATGATCTGTTATACACACAGGAGCATATTCCAGTTGTAAAAAGCAAATTCCTTGAAGGCTCAGAACGAACAAAAATCAGTCTTCATGGCAGAAAGCACATCCAAAGCTAGGCAATGAAGTTCAGCTCGGGCCACGTGAACCTTTCACCAGCCAGCCTATAACCTATGGAGCCAGGACAGGAAAGCACGATCCTTCAGCTCACGACGCCACCAGGCTTCTAGACAACTGCAGAATGAACGAGTCCCTCAGAGGCTCCCCAGCCCCTGCTGCCATCATAAAGCACAGGAGGGATTGTTTTGTCCTTAGCGGCTCTGTCCTAAATTTGAGAGCAGGAGACTGAGAAGGTTATACTCATTAAATATTGTCATTGTAACACTGAATGGAAATGATGATCCTTGCCCATGGACACTGAGCTGAGAGAGAGAGGAACCTCACATGAGGCTTTCCTAGAGACCAGGATGTTGGGTGAGTGGGCGTGCACTTCTCAAGTGGGCAAGGAAGGAGTGCTTTTCTCCAGCTGACATGCTCTCAGGGGTGAAGAAGTTTGGCTTAAAATACTAGATGGCGCCGCATAAACTAGGGATTTAGGAACTGAGTTTTTAGCTCTGTGACACACAACATAAAAAACAAAAATCCAGTCTCATTAGTTAAATTCTGATTAAAACCTGAAATGTTTTTATGGCGTTGCCAACAGGCTGGAATGTATCTGATACAGTTTAATCTGCTTTTATTTCTTTGGCTGTCTTCCAACTAGATTTACGAACAGTTCTGACCCTCTCAATCCTATTTTCCAAACCACTTTCTTCCTGTAATTCTTAAGTTGGCTAGTTCTCCTTCCTCAGAAAAATTACCCCTAACAATCTTCCTAATAGTGAGGGTGTACTTCTGAATAGAAGAGTCCTTCGGCTGAAATGGCATCTCCAAGGCCTACAGTTCGAATGGGGTCTTTACACACCAACACTGGTGTGAAGTGGAAGGATATTCCCTCTCTGTGCCATTCTACTACTGGCTTGTTTGGGTTTAATACAATCCTGGAGCCTGCCTCCGAATGGGAAGTCATGAACTCTTGGGGTGCCCTCAGAGACACTCGGCTAGTGTCTATGGTTTCTGTGGCGCAGGCCTGTGTCCCAGCCACACGAGCTCCTGCAGCCACGGCTGCCAGCTGGTTGGCCCAGTGTCCATCCACAGTTGCCAGGATGTGGTAGACCAGTGTGTGGAAATGGATCCTGGTGAGATCCGAGGCTCTGCTTTTACTCCTCCCGTGTTCTTTCAAGATCCAGAAGAGGATGTCACTGACCATGCCCACATCAGGAACCCCGTTCCACGAAGAGAGAGAAGAGTGAGGTCCAGATGCCGACTGGGTGAGAAATAACAGCTCCTGTTCATTCAGCCCAAGAGAAGTCACCACAGGAAAGACCTGCTAACAAAAACAATGACAGGTCTCTCTCTGATGGAGATAACCTGGCTCCTAAGAATGTCCCATGACATAGCCAGTTACTAAATGAAAATGAAATAGAAATGGCTCATTTGTTTTTAAAGGTGAGAAGAAAAACCCAAACAAAAGCTATACTGAGAAACACCAAGAGTGAGCCCAACTGTAAACTATGGACTTTGGGTGCTGATGATGTGCCTGTGTAGGCTCACTAGTTATAATAAATGTGCCACTCTGGTGCAGGCTGCTGGCAGTGGGGGAGGCTGTGTGTGTGAGGGGACTGGGAATATATGGGAACTCTCTTGGATTCTGCTGTATTTTGCTGCGCACCTAATTATTACCGTAAAAAAAAAATGAAGTCTACTAAAAAAAAAAAAAAAAAAAAAAGAACAACAGTCAGCCCTCCATATCCGTGGGTTCAACCAACCTCAAATGGAAAACAGAGTATTCGAGGATGTGGAACCTGCAGATAGGGAGGGCCAACTTGTCTAATCCACAGATTCCATGGGGCCACCTGCAGGATGTAAACATCTGCAGATTCTGGTATCTGGGAAGGGTTCTGGAATACACTCCCCACCCCCTGGCCCACACACTGCTGATGACGAGGGATGACTGTATACTGAAATACCATTTTTTCATCTGTCAGACTGATATAAATGCAAATTTTAACATTCTGGTAGCAAGGATATGAGGGAACAAGCATTTGTAAAGAATGCCAGTGGGAAGTAAACTGGTATAATTCTCATGGAGGGCAAGCTGGCAATCTCAAAATTACAAATGCTTTCTTATGCTCCAATCCAGCTGTTCTTCTTCTGAAAATTTCTCATACATATGGACTTGCTCACACGCAAAATAAAATCATGTATCAAGTCGTTCACTGCAGCACTGTGTGTAACAGCAAAGGGCAGTAAATAACCAATATGTCCATCAAGAAGGTTCAGGTTAAGTAAACAGAGGTACATCTACACATTCATTTTAACCATGTGGCTGTGAAAAGACAGAGGATACTCTCCATGTTAGTGATGCAGGAAGATCTCCAAGATATATTTAGTGAAAAAAAGAGCAAAGTGAAGAACAGTGTATTCAGTAGGCTATGCTATCTTTTTGGGGAAAAGCCGATGGAAAAGGAAAATCAGGATATATTTCCGTATTTTCTTATACTTGTACAAAAGAACTCTGGAAATAAACTGATGAAGGTTACAAGTAGGGAAGGGGAGGAAGTAGGAGGGAGACTTCATTGCATATCTTTTCATAGTTTTGGAGTATTTTTAACCAAATGAATATATAACCAATTAAGAAGATTAGGTAACAAGAGATTACCAGGTGAGATACTTGCCTGAGTTCATGAAGCTGGGGAGTGCAACGCTGGCATGCTAACCCAGGTCTCCAAAGCTTGTGTTCTGAAGCCTCACCTGCTCGGATTTATACTAATCACTGCTGCTGCCCAGAGGCAGGCGCCGAACACCCAGATGCCTGAGGAAGGAGGGAGGTTCCCCCAAAGTTTCTTTGCTTTGAGCTTCTTGAAATTCAACTGAAAACAGCTGAGCTGGGCTTTCAGTTTTCTCCACTCACTTTCTACTTTCCCATTCCAGAGGAGAAATATCGACAAATCTGTCAGTTACGTAACTTTAACCTAGTAGGAGACACTACTGTTTCAGAACAGTCCTGGATCCTTATTTGGATCTCCATGGACTTGATTCTGAGTGACACAAACCTACATGTCAGTGAGCCAGTCCCTGAGCCCAAACAGATGGTCCCACTGCACAAAAAAGCTTCTCTGCAAGGCTCTATGAGGATCAGGGCCAAACAATGGTCCCATGTGGTTACCTGATGCACAATGCTGCTCATGAGCTCCCTGTTGGTCATACTGGCCAGCTCTAGGTGAACTGGAATACCAGTGGGGATGTCAGAAATGGAGGTTACAACCTGCAAAGAGAAGAAGATAAGCACTGCCATTAGAAATAGAAGGAAGTAAAGAAAGGGGGAAAATAGATCAGATCCTGAGAGGCGGTTCCTCCTGGTAATGGCCTTCTTTGCATGCTCACGAGAGCTACAACCAATGTGGGTCCCCCACCGCCTCTGTGGACAAGGGACACTTTTCCCACCAGGGAAGACTAGGCTGTGCAGAGCCATCAGGGATACAGAATCAGAGATGACAAAGAAGTGTCCCTGTATATTCATGTGGCCAGCCTATTCCTGGGACCTAAATGGAGCAGTTCACTTAGACTGCTGTACGAATCTGTAGGAGTTGCAGCATAGCTGATGTGAAGTGAGATGATACAAATAACACAAAGGACACAAACTACAAACCCTGCAGCTTGCAACCACGGTCAGTTTAGCACAGGATGCAGAGGCTCAGGCAAGAAGATGTTCTGACCTGTCCTACTCAAGCTGCTGCCCACATCTGTAGGGATACAGTGAGGTGCCTCACTGCAGCAGGAGGCAAGCTCCACAGCCAGCTGCCAAGATTATGTCCCTGCGAGGCCAGGACCTAAGACAAGGCAGCAGATGCCAAGAGAGGCTGGAACCTGAAGAAAACCACCAGCTGAGATCTGTGAAATTCTGTAACAGTGCCATTACCTCCAAGAGTCTCTTCCTCTGGAGCTCCTTGCTTTGTCCCTCCATCATGTGCAATCCAGAGAGGACCACCAGGTCTGGCTGAAACTCCTCCAGGCTAGACACAAACACCTCCAGCATATTCATGGCCCCGTTGGAGAGGTCGTGAGAGAAGATGAATCGGTTGGCATGGGGAGCTTTTAACTGGCCCCACTCCTCCCCTGGAAAAACCCAGTCAACACAATGGGAAGAAAAGGAAGAGGCTTTAGGTCTCCTAGCTGTGGGGGCACTTTCAGCCACCTCACAGGCTTGGAGCCTTGGCTCCAAGCAGGCTGGTTTCTGGCTGAGGAGACCCTGGCAACAACGGTCTAAGGTCAGCATGGCACTGCAAGAAACAAACCAAAAACCTAAACCCAAACCCAACCAAGAAACAGAAACATAGTATGGGTGCTATATGCCTTTTTCAGGGTAATTAGCTCCCCGAGTCCCAGGAGAGCCCTACCGTCCACTGAGCTCTCAAACACAGTAGAGACAGTACAGAACAGCAGCATGACTTCCAAATACCAGCATACAGTGCGCAGAACGCACGCCCTGCAGACAGTACCGGCTGTCATTGTTTAAAGCACATTCTTCCTCACAGCATTGCCCTGAGCATCTTTCATTCAGTTGGAACTTAAGCAGGCTGAATTCCTTCCCAACAGCCAAGCTCACTGCATCTCCTCTTCCCTGCTGCCCATCAGTGGTTTCTGGGCACCTGATCCAAAGGGTCAGACTATCTGGCTGCTCCAGTTGCTTCTATGTGAGTTGCTTTGGAGGAATGACTGTTTAAGACAAAGTTTAAGTGCTAGTTCCTCCCTTAATATGAAGCCTTTCCTAACTCTACCACCCCTAAGCAGACTTGATTACCTCCATTCCAGAGCCACCACTGTACCCTAATACAGGACTGAGGCACATGATTTTGCAATTACTCTTTCTTTTTTTCTTTCTTTTTTTTTTGAGATGGAGTTTTGCTCTGTTGCCGAGGTTGAAGCGCAATGGTGCGATCTCGGCTCACTGCAACCACTGCCTCCCAGGTTCAAGTGATTCTCCTGCCTCAGCCTCCCAAGTAGCTGGGATTACAGATACCCACCACCACACCCGGCTAATTTTTGTATTTTTAGTAGAGATGGAATTTCACCATGTTGGCCAGACTGGTCTTAAAACTCCTGACCTCAGGTGATCTGCCAGCCTCGGCCTTCCAAAGTGCTGGGATTACAGGCGTCTGAGCCACCACGCCCAGCCTGTAATTACTTTTTCCAAGTGTCTATCTCTGGCAGTAAACTGTGAGCTGAGGGCAGGGCCTGTGTCATCCTCTATCATATTCCTTCTGCGTCACGCTGCGTCTGGCATATAGCCATGGGAAAGAATTAAAAGAACAAGCAAATAAGAGAACAGATTGATGACCTAAATGCCCATGACAACAAAAAATATGGTTATGAACTCCAAATCCAACATTCTGCAAATCAACAAAGACTCTGTACAATGAGAAAAATACATTACATTGATATTCTCCAGAGAGCAAGACATGAACTCAACCCTTGAATAGTGACACTGCCAGGAAATACGACCTGATTGAATCTAGGAAAAAGGAGCCACACCGTATTCAAAATACACTGCTTCAGGAAGTGACAGAGGCAAAAACAAACAGGCTTCTGCAAGGCAAGGACGAGAAGAACCATGCAGAGCTGCTTGCTGTTTCCACAGGACACAGGGCAGAGGGGTGGCCCGAGAAGCAAATGGATCGAATTCTGCCTGTAATGGTAGTTAGCGCCCCTCTTTCCTCACAAAGTGTTGTATTCATTTCTGCAAGCAATCTCTTCTCAATGTATCATCCTGCCCTCAGCTGGTAAGTCAGCAAAACCTCTACATAGTGACTCACTGGATTCCCAGCCCAAGCCTGACGATGGGCTTCTCTGGGGAGGTTTGGTAAGAAAGAATGTGAAAAAAAAGTGGACACATCCCTTGGAATGTCCCTATTGATGTCAGAGAGAAACTGGGGATGGATTTCTGTTGAGAGAGCTGAGCCCAGGACTGCTGCCACCAGTCTAGGCTCCCTCCTTGGACCTAGGAAAATGTCACCTCACAAAGTTTAATGGAAGTCCACTGCTTTGTACGCAGAAAAGGCATAGGAAAGAAAAACTGAAGTGTGACGCTTATAAACCCAAGGATGGAGACACTCTTTGTGAGGTGAGCTGTGCTGTCTCCTTAACTACATACAAGGCACAGCTGTCCAATACATCATGAAAGTCTTGCTGAAGACATAAGACTCTCCACTCTGTAGTCACCAGGGAAAATGACAAACCAGGAATCACAAAGCTCCCCAGTTCATGCTGTGGGTGCCAAAAAAAAAGTGACATGAATCTGGAACTCATGGCAGCAATACCTCAGAGGCTCATCTTTAGCAATTCCAGACCCTTCCAGTCCACAGTCAGGGCATTCTTTTATTTTATTTTTATTTTTTTTGAGATGGAGTCTCGTTCTGTCGCCCAGGCTGGAGTGCAGTGGTGCAATCTCGGTTCACTGCAACCTCCACCTCCCAGGCTCAAGCAATTCTCTGCCTCAGCCTACCGAGTAGCTGGGATTACAGATGCCCGCTACCACACCTGGCTAATTTTTGTATTTTTAGTAGAGAAGGGGTTTCACCATCTTGGCCAAGCTGATCTTGAACTCCTGACCTCGTGATCTACCTGCTGCAGCCTCACAAAGTGCTGGCATTACAGGTGTGAGCCACAGTGCGCAGCCAGGTCATCTTTTCATCCAGGCTGCTCACAGTGTTTCCACACACCAACCAATCTCTTAATCCTTACCACAATGATCAGGCAGCAAAAACTATCACTCTTACTTCCCACCTGGGAAAACTAAAGCTGAGAAACTCAAAAACTCGTGTAGCATTAAGTATGAACTGCCTAAGTCAACAGTGTTTCCCTAATTTTCAGACCCTATCCTTCCTTACTTCCCAGCTGATTCTAGTAAAGACCCAAAAGAGAACCAGAACATGTTACAACTCTTTTTCTACCTGGAGAAAGGCATAAATTTCAAGAAACAACATAGTTCATATCTTGTGTTAAAGTTAATTACTCTAGTAGAGAAGATTCTCTTAATTGACTTGGAAGTAGTTCACTAAAGAGTATTAAGTGCTGCTTCAAGGTACCAATTAGTCTGTTTAGATGCTTGAGTCTTAAATATGAATTAACAATGTGTTGAATGAGAAACTCAAGAGTCTGAGTTCTGAGCAGAGGGAAAAATACAGCAGGAAATACACAGGATCAAAGTATGTCCAAGTATTTAAGATTTTCTCAGAAACCAGATGCCTAATCTATGTAACACATAAAATCTGCAGGGAAGAGGGGATGGGATGCAGTGGGTGTGGATTTATTAACATTAGAACATCTGATGGGAAACAATATAGTGATGTTAAATACAAAACACTTCCACTCACACACCCAAGGAAAAATAAAATGCTCCAGAGAAACTTGCCAGTAGCTTGGAATCAACCCCAAGCAGCTAGGAAGAGTCAGTCAGAAAGGCCTAGGGCAGAATCCAGCACAGAGCTGAATGGATGCTACCTGCCTTTCTCTTCTCTTAGTCATAAAGGAAAACTTTATATATGTGTGTTTAACACATTTTCATTTTTATTTGAGATGCCTGCTTTCCTACAGTCTGATTTATCTTGGCTTCAGAGCAATTCTGGTTGTAGACCTGGAAATTTTCTTCCATGTTGTAATACTCTATCAGTCTCCCTTGAGACAATGGCCAGTATCAGCTCAGTAGAACCAATAGGTCAGGAAACGTTCAGTATGGCAAAAACAGGATCCTGCTGATTTACCAAGATAAATTTCTGGCACAGTCGCACCCCAATCTGACAATACACAGTCCCCTGACTGGTCTTGCCACCATTACTTACTCATTTCCTTACCTGCTTGATACTCTAAAATGAGGTGGAACTCATCCACTTCCTGCAATGACTCTGGTGGAACAAAGACATTGTCATCAAGAAGCTCATGTAGCTTTGGACCAACTGGACCGCAAAGAAGAACCTGGAGACAAGCAACACGAAGTCCATCAGGAGCCCCGTTCCTTGCCCCACAGAACCTCAACAGTACCCCAGGACAGTACATTCAGGCTGATTCTAATCATTTCAACAAAATATTGGAATCCAAATCTAATTTTGAAAGCTGTTGGTTTGGAGGTGTGCAGCAGAAGGCATGTCACCAGGGCTAAGGCCTCTGGAGGGTATGACCATAATGTACCCAGAACTGAGAGGCTGACAAAAGAACTGTGTCACAGCCATCAGGCACCTATGCAGCTGCTGCATCTCATTCCCTCTGCTGAGGACTGCATGTTTGTGTCACCTCCCCAAATTTAGATGGTGAAGCCCAAACCCCCATGTGGCTTATTTGGAGATAGGGCTTTTGGAAGGTAATTAATATGAAATGAGGTCATAATGGTGAGTTGAGGTCCTAATCAGATAGAACTGGTGGCCTGATAAGAAAAGAGAGAGAGATCAATCTCTCTCCCGCGACTGCGTGCACCAAGGACAGGACATGTGGGAACACACTGAGAAGGTGGCCACCTGCAAGCCAAGAAGAGACTTCTCACCAGAAGCCACACCTTGCTGGAACCTTGATCTGGGGCTTTCCAGTCTCCACTGTGAGAAAATAAACTTCTGTTGCTTGAGACCCTAAGTTTATGGTATTTTGCTACTATGACAGCCAAAGAAGACCCTACCCCCACTTTCTTTACTCACTCACACCTTGTGCACGCAAAGAGACATGGGATGTTGTCTGCAACAAAGCTGCCAGATGAAAACTGTTTGAGTTTTTATACGGTATAAAAACAGTTTCTGGATCACCATATCCTCAACCGGGTGACCTCATTTGTGGAATAAAATTCTCTCCCATTACTGAACTGTTACGTGAATAGGACAGCCTTTTCAATATGAGAATTAAAGAGCATCCCAACTGAGAGACTTCAGGGGAAGGGGCTCTGCAGCTTTTCCAAAACCTTTTTCTTCAACTCCAACCAGGGCCTCCCTCTGGCTATTCTTTCTAGAAGCCATTTCTTATCTGTTCTTGTTCCTCAACTCCAATAAGCCATTGTTTTTGCCACACCATTCAAGGCCAGGCTAGCAGACTCAAAACCACTGAACAATGAAGACTGCACTGAGATTTAAAGGAAAGTCCCCAGAGACTGTCAACACTGCTTCACATTTTTTTTTTCTTTTTTTTTTTGAGACAGAGTTTTGCTCTGTTGCCCGGGCTGGAGTGCAGTGGTACAACCATAGCTCACCACAGCCTTGACCTCCCAGGCTCAAGCGATCCTCCTGCCTCAGCCTCCAGAGTAGCTGGGACTATAGGCATGAGTCACCAGGCCTGGCTAATTTTTTATTTTTATTTTTAATAGAGACAAGGTCTCACTATGTTGCCCAGGCTAGTCTTGAACTCCTGAGCTCAAGAGATCTCAGCCTCCCAAATTGCTAGGATTACAGGCATAAGACAACATGCTCGGCCCATTTCAGATTTAATATGTCCCACCCAGAAGCTTCAAAAGGCATTAACTTGCTAATTAACTGCTTATATAGACGGCTTTGTACAGAGGTACTTTTGTGTTATCTAAGAAATCCCGGCTTCTGGATAAAAATATACTCCTCTCCCTTTTCTGCCTTGACACATGCCCTTTACTTGCCAATTCTGAAAGTTTTGCCCCAACCACTTTACTTCCTTTCTCTAATTCTTGGCTAGTGCTCCACTTCCAAGATGAGACAACGAGGGCCACAGGCCATATTTACCCTCCTGCCTGAAACAACAAAAAAGACAAAATGTATGAAACAATGGTTTTCAAAACATTGTGTGAACATCAGACAATAAAGGACGACCCCTAAAAAAACAGGAATAAACTGGCCAGGCACGGTGGCTCATGCCTGTAAGCCCAGCACTTTGGGAGGCTGAGATAGGCAGATCACTTGAGGTCAGGAGTTCAAGACCAGCCTGGCCAACATGGTGAAACCCTATCTCTACCAAAAATACAAAAAATTTAGCTAGGCGTGGTGGCGTACACCTGTAATCCCAGCTACTCAGGAGGCTGAGGCAGAAGAATCACTTGAACCTGGGAGGTAGAGAGCCAAGATCATGCCACTGCACTTTAGCATGGGCGACAAAGCAACACTCTTGTCTCAAAAAAAAAAAAAAAAAAAAAAAAAAAAAGAAACAGGAATAAATTTAGTAAGCCCTACAAACATCTCAGCATATTACTGTAAAAGAATTTCCAGGTATACGGAACCTGAAAGAATTTATCACTAGCAGACTCCCACTAGAAGCAATGTTAAAAGAAGTCCTTCTGGCAGAAGGGAGAATGACATGAGATGGAAATATGTTTTTGTATTTTTTTGAGACGGAGTCGCTCAGGCTGGAGTACAGTGGTGTGATCTCGGCTCACTGTAACCTCCACCTCTTGCATTTAAGTGATTCTCCCGCCTCAGCCTCCCAAGTAACTGGGATTATGGACACGCACCACCACGCTTGGCTAATTTTTTTTTTTTTTGTATTTTTAGTAGAGATGGGGTTTCACCATGTTGGGTGAAACAACCTGACCGTGTCAGGCTGGTCTTGAACTCCTGACCTCAAGTGATCTGCCCATCTTGGCCTTCCAAAGTGCTGCAATTACAGGCATGAGCCACCGTGCCCAGCCAGAAATACGGATCTAAACAAAGAAATGAAGAACAACAGAAATGGTAATGCTAGATAAGTACATAAGATTATTTTTCTTATTATTTAAATCTCTTTAAGAGATAACTGAAGAAAAGTACTAACAAATGTAGTGTGAGGTTTGTAACATGCAGAAGTCAAGTATTTCACAATGATCGTATAAACATTGGAGGGAGAGAAGTACAGGCATACCTCATTTTATTGTGCTTCACTTTACTGTGCTCTGCAGATACTGCAGTTTTTACAAATTGACAGTCTGTGGCAACCCTGTGGTCCCCTCTGGGCACCACTTTTCCAACAGCATGTAATCACTTCGTGTCTCTGTCACATTCTGGTTGTTCTCACATTTCGAAGTTTTTCATTATTATGTCTGTTATGGTGATCAGTGATCTTTGATGGATGCTACTATTATAACTGTTTTGGGACACCACAGATCATTCCCACATAAGACAGTGAACTTAATCGATAAATAATTTATGTGTTCTGACCACTCCATGGACCGGCTGTTCCCGTCTCTCGCCCTCTCCTTGGGCCTCACTAAAATTTCCTGAGACATAACAATATTGAAATTAGGCCAGTTAATAACCCTACAATGGCCTCCGTGTGTTCAAGTGAATGGAAGAATTGCACATCTCTAACTTTAAATCAAAAGCTAGAAGTGATTAAACTTAGCAAAGAAGGCATGTAGAAAGCTGAGAAAAGCCTTTTATGCTGTTAGCCAAGTTGTGAATGCAAAAAGTCCTTGAAGGAAATTAAAAGTGCTACTCTAGTGAACATACGAATATAAGAAAGCAAAACAAAACAAAACAAAAACAAAAAACAACAACAAAAAGAAAGCAAAACAGCCCTATTGCTGATATGAGAAAGTTTGAATGGTCTGGATAGCAGATCAAACAAGCTACAACATTCCCTTAAGCCAAAGCCTAATCCAGAGCAATGCCCTACTCTCTCCAATTCTATGAAGGCTGAGAGAGGTGAGGAAGCTGCAAAAGAAAAGTTGGAAGCTAGCAGAGGTTGGTTCATGAGGTTTAAGGAAAGAAGCTGTCTCCACAACATAAAAATGCAAGGTGAAGCAGCAAGTGCTGATGTAGAAGCTGCAGCAACTTATCCAAAAGATCTAGCTAAGATCACTGATGAACATGGCTGCACTAAACAACAGGTTTGATGTACACAAAACAGCCTTCTGTTGTAGGGTAATGCTGGATAAGTACATAAGATAATTTTAAGAAGGTGCCATCTAGGACTTTCAGAGCTGGAGAGCAGAAGTCAATGCCTACCTTCAAAGCTTCAAAGAACAAACTGACTCTCTTGTTGGGGCTAACACAGCTGGTGACTAAATTGAAGCCAATGCTCACTGACCATTCTGGAAAATTCTAGGATCCCTAAGTATGATGCTAAATCTACTCTGCCTGTGTTCTATAAATGGAACAATAAAGCCTGAATGACAGCATACCTGTTTACAGTTTAATAGGCATTTTAAGCCCACTGTTCATAACTACTGCTCACAAAAAAAAAAAAAAAAAAATTGTTTAAAGTATCACTGCTCATTGACAGTATTCCTAGTCGCCCAAGAGCTCTGCTGGAAATGTATAAGGAGAAGGATGATGTTTTCATGCCCGCTAACGCAACATCCATTCTGCAACCCATAAATTAAGAAGTTATTTTGACTTTTTTTCTTGAGACAGAGTCTGGATCTGTCACCCAGGCTGGAGTATAGTAGCCTGATCTCAGTCCACTGCAATCTCCTTCAAGTGATTCTTGTGCCTGAGCCTCCTGAGTAGCTGGGACTGCAGGCGTGCACTACCACACCTGGCTAGTTTTTGTATTTTTAGTAGAGATGGGGTTTCACCATGTTGGCCAGACTGGTCTCAAACTCCCAGCCTCAAGTGATCTGCCCACCTTAGCCTCTCAAAGTGCTAGGATTACAGGCATGAGCCACTGCACCTGGCTAGAATTTTGACTTTCAAGTCTATTATTTAAGAAATACATTTCATAAGGCTATAGCTGCCATAGATAATAACTCCTCTGATGGATCTGGGCAAATAAACTGAAAACCTCTGGAAACAATTTACCATTCTAAATACCATTAAGAACATTTATGATTTATAGGAGGAAGGCAGCATATCGACATTAACAGGAGTTTCAAAGAAGTTGATTCTAACCCTCTTGGACACCTTTGAGATTCAAGACTTCAGTAAAGGAAGTAACTGCAGATGAGGTGAAAATAGCAAGAGAACTAGAATGAGCAGTGGGGCCTGAAGATATGACTGAATTACTGTATTCTTCATGACAAAACTTGAACAGATAGAGTTGCTTCTTATGGATGAGCAAAG